CCCTCCCCTCCCCTCCCGTCCAGGCAGGCCCTCAGCTTGTGTCCCTGGAGTGAAAAGGCTGCGCCCACGTGAGGGCCAGGGTTGCACACACCTGGACGCCCATCGGGAGGCGAAAGAGGCCGTGAAGCAAACGTAATGGCTGTTTTCCCAGCTTCTCAGAACTTGGGGCAGCAGTTTTCAGAGGCGCCTTCGTTTACTTCTAAACAGAGTCAAACATGGCATTAAGTCATCAGCAGACGCAAAGCAACGCGTAATCTGCCTTTCATTTGACTCCATTTAGTGAAAAGTACCTTTCAACAGGGGCGGGGGAGGAGCAGGCGCCCTGAAAGCGCCTTGATGGAAACGACCAGGTTCCCGGAGACGGTGGGCGGTCTGCGTGCGAGGCCCGGCCCAGTCCCGCAGACCGCAGGCCACGCAGGTGCCAGCTGGACACGGGCCGCGGAGCCGGGGGGTGGGGCGGGGATGGAAAAGCGGGTCCGGGGAAGGCCAAGCACACTGCTTTGAAGGGAGAAGGGACCCTGGCTGTTAACTGAAAATTCATCGTAACCAAGAAATGCTGTTCTCTGTGAGGAAAGGAGAGGGAGGGAGGCCGCACAGGTGGCCAGCAGCTTTGAAAGGCGCCCGATTCTCACTCCCGGGAGGGTTCGGGCCTCACCTGTGACCTGTGCCCAGGAGCAGGCTCTCCTGAAAGCGCCTTGATGGAAACGACCAGGTTCCCGGAGACGGTGGGCGGTCTGCGTGCGAGGCCCGGCCCAGTCTAACCAAGAGATGCTGTTCTCTGTGAGGAAAGGAGAGGGAGGGAGGCCGCACAGGTGGCCAGCAGCTTTGAAAGGCGCCCGATTCTCACTCCCGGGAGGGTTCGGGCCTCACCTGTGACCTGTGCCCAGGAGCAGGCTCAGTGCGAGCTCACAGACACGGGGAGGGGCTCCCGGACAGTGGGGGAGGGGCCGAGGGACAGGATGGCGCCAGCTGCAAGGGGCTTTCCAGAGCCACCGCCCGGAACACTTTTGTGGGGTCTGACTGCGCCTGGGGGGGGTGGGGACAGCTCAGAGTCTGGGCCACACGACCGGGTTCTGGCCTTTGTCCATGTGACCTGAGCCGGAGGGGACCTTGCATGGGATTGAGGCCTGGGATGAGCGGTTACCCTGCTTTTCCGGGGGGACCAGAAGCAGAAGCAGGTCCAAGTCATGCCCCCTCCACCCACCAACTCTGAGCAGACGCCCAGGAGGCCACCGGCCACCGCCTGTCCCTCCACCACGCTGTCCCCAAGGGAAAACCAGGTTTACGCTGCAGAGAAAACCCGACGAGGCTGCAAACAGCAGAAAACACCCAAGAAAACTGTCCAGAGAGAAAAACGTGTAAAAGTTTACTATTTTCATACGTAACTTTAGAAAAGACATATCCCCATATAAAACGTTGCATAGCAAATGACATGTTTGTACAAAACCCAGTAAGAAAACATCCTTTTATCATTTAAGATGATTCTGAAAAAAACGTTGCTGAAAACAAATGGTAACGTCCTAGCCGGTGGCTCTCGTGTGCCAGAGCCCTGGCCGTGCAGCCGCGGCCACGCTC